CAAGTATCCCTCCCTCGTAAGACATGTGTCCTCCACGGATCAGAGACATTACATGTAGAAGCCGTTTTTTGGAGTTACGGTATGTATACGGTAGAGCTTTGCATGCAGTTTGCTCCTTCAGCTGCAGCCGATTTTTGAGTTTTATTGTCATTCTATTAGGTGTATAATTAATTCAATTTTTTTCCAGCAATAGCTCACATATTTCTCAATTCCAATTAAGATGCAGGGGGTACTTTCGATAGAGCAAAGCATGCTCTGTAAGATGGCAAGGTTCGCACCAGCTTCAGCAAATCACGAGTTAGAAGCCGAAATCTGGGAACCTTCGGATGTCCGAAAAATTGAGAATTTTTTTTATGTTTTCGCTCAAAACTTACCAGATCCCAAATTTGCTCACGCATATACACTCCGCATGAGACATCCATATGTGCCGTTGCTGTGTTTGTTCGTTTTAGAAACCAAAACTGAAATTCCCAAGCTTTCAAAAAAGCAATGCTGCGCCGTTCTCACTTAGGTAAATGTATACTGCAGGCCTCTAAAAACACATTGGTTAATATTCAGCTTCCTGGAAGCGCTAGTTCAGGGTGAAACCGAATTCTGCTCTTCCTGCTAGAATCTATGTTAAAATCGTTATTTTCTGAGACTTAAAGCTTATAAAAAGCCGGAAATCTGTGATCGTACTTTTTTAGGCTTGTGCTACACATTTACTTACGTGAAAAAAGCGCAGCATTGCTTTTTTGGAAGCTTTTTTAGTTTTCTAGGTTTCTAGCGCAGAAACAGACGCAGCAACGGCATACATGATTGTCTTATGTGGAATGTTTTTGAGTAAGTTTGGGATCTGGTAAGTTCCTATGGGCAAAGATATAAAAAATTTTTGATTTTCTGGCATTTAAAGTTCTCAGATTTCGGCTTCTAACTCGTGATATGTTGAAGCTGGTGCGAACACCTACACGCCTTCTTATCTTGAATCTTAATTAGAATTGAGAACTACGTGAGCAATGCGGATAATCAAAATTGAAGAAACCTGTGAGACAACCTAATATTTATGAAACCGAGGTCATCTCATAGTCAAATAATTCCTTTCGAACATAAAACTTTACAACCAACCCTCGGTCGTAACTACGAAAAGACTGCCGCCTTAGCCGAAGTGAGAAAAAATTCGACGACCTTCACGGTTCAATGTGTTCGTTGCGAATAAATCACCAGTATGCCATATAATCACTGTCAGTTACTATCAACACCGTCTTGCTCGCTCATTTATTCTCCCACCCCCTCACCTCTGCAAGTTCTAAACATTGCAGTAGTGTGGACACGGCTAGCTGTAATCCGCACCTGTTTGGCTTGTTTTTTTCACCTTTGGTGACGGTTCGGATTACTTCGTCCTGCTTGTTTACACTGGTTACCTCAGTCTTTAGAGGCTGTTGAGCTTGCTTGTTCGTTCCATTTACTCGTTCCGGTGCACTTTGGGTTCAAACCTATTTCATCACACATTTAACTTCGTGGAATCTGCCTACTTTGTTTTTTTTGTATGTGTGGCACTAATTTGTTCATCGTGGATAACCGCATTCTATGTCAAGAGGGGGGGGGGGGAACAGCTACGAAAATTTTTGTAAATCATGAAAAACTGTCCACTAATTTTGAAACTGAGATTGTTTCCAGTTTCATATCAGCTGGTTTGCGTAAGTTGAGATCTTCTTCCAGATAGGAAAGACAAGCAACTCTCCTCAAACTCTCCATAGTTCACCTTCTCGAAAGAATTTGGGCCCGTAATTTATAAACAGTTATGAATAGCTTTAGATCGCAAATGCAGTAGTAACATTATTTCCTAACGTGTTCAAGCAAATTTATTTACCTTATGGTATGCAAAAAATCAATTTTCAAAGGGCTTTCCCATCTTATATTTTAGTGTGACAATCACTTCGCACTCGATTGTTTTTTGTAAATAATGGGAATGGAATAACATATGAATTTCGTAGAAGATGACTGATTCAACTTCGTGAAAAAATTCTTGCAAGCGTCTTCTCTTGGCACGTGTCTTTTTTCTTATAATTCATGGGTGTAGGCTTAAAAAACTGATCGTACGAAAAGTTATCTGAAAAAACAGTGCTTATGCCCTCTTATTGAGAATAAATTCCTTCAGTTTTCTGCTTCCTTCCCTCTTCCGCGACAGAGGAGCATCGCTATTAGCAAACAAATAAAGTGCAGTAGGCAAAGGTATATAAGGCGCATTTGTGATAATTTGGCCTTCAAAAACACAAATAAAGGTCTACACAAGAATAAAAAACGCAAATATGTTGAGATGAAGTCTTTCTTAGGCGCTTCAAAGAGTTTTCACTTAGAATGTGAAGCAGGACCAAAAGATTGGTAATTCAGAAAAAAAGATGCTTGCTTGAATGCCTAGATTTACTATTTTCTAAAATGTATCACAACTTCAGTTAGATCAAAAATTTTGTCACAAACGTTTTTTTTGCAATGTTCTTAACTAGCCTCAAGATAAAAACAGATGTTTTACTGATTTATTATTTAGGTTGGCCAAAAGATAAGTTCGGTCGTGTTCAACTTTTTGTAGAAAATTTACAAATTGATCCATGTAGGAATGCTTGGTACAATTAGAAGGAACAAATCAAATAGAATCGGATAGTCTACTCTATTTGAGCGATATCTATTATTTTGCCAACGAAATTGTGCAGGAAAGTAGAATTGTAAGTCGTCTATGAATTTACTATAGACTGAGAAAGAAGCTTAGAAAGTCAAAAAAGCGATTTTTAAGAGGTCTGACCATACAAGGGCATAGCTGTCAATTCGTGTGACAGAAAATTTTGACTACTTGATATTTGAAAGTAGGGGTTTGAAGCTATCTCCTTGCAAAAAAAATCTCAGCTGAATAGCTGCTTCGAATTGTTATGCAGTTTCGAAATTGCATGTCAAATCGAACTTATTTATCAGTTTAGCCAACCCAAAAATTACATCGAAAAATAACTCAGGCAGTGCCTGACGTCTTAGAATCTCTAAACTATTGACGAGAAAATCGATTAACATTTCAAATCTTGAAACTTTTTTGGCATTGACCGTGTGTAGGGTAGCGTCATGGAGTGTAGGGTTCTTACTGGTACTCGGCACGCTCGGAATATTCAAAAAATTCCCGTTTCTTCATTTTTACATTAAATTGTGCTGTTAGTTGAGAATTTGGTTCCATCGTACTATCTGTAGCAAATTTGAGACTACCTGAATTTAGATGGACTTTTTAACCTATTTTAAGTGTTGCTTTGTGGTTTTTGAAGAACTGCCCATTTCGATTCCACTATTATGGGACCTGAAAAAGATAAATGTCCGAAAGAATTTCGAGAATTTCCTCTTAGTCATAACCAGACGCTATGGTATGCTCATCAATCATCATATGTGTTCGCAAAAGCACTTAAATCTTCGTTAACTTCTGTCATTTGCTCAACTGTCATTGAAGCCTTTGTCAAATAGCAAACATATGCGAACAAACACACAACTGTTATGCGGAAAATAAACTTCTGAGCGCTTTTGCTCACTAAGTTCGCTAAAACTACTTAGAAATTTCTTGGAATGCTTAGCAAATCATGGCCTCCGAAATCTTTTGCAGTCCTTTTTGTTTAGCTGAATATTCTATCGACATAATCATAGATAGTCTCTATTTGCTCGCAATTTGATGCCAGTAATTTTTTTCTCGAAGAATTGTTTGCGGTCGCGTGATTCATGACTTCGACTTGGTGACGAAGTGTGTCTAGGTTTTCTTTATGATGAATAGTCGAACGTTCTGAGTTATTTTCTGCACATTTCATCTCTCTTTCTCCTCCCGTTTCTTTCTCTTTTTCATCAAGTTGCTTTTCTTTCAAAGAGGAGCTTTCAGACGCGAGTTTGGCATGACTGCCGCAGAAAACTATTACATATAATTTTACTACCCAGCTAAAAAACAAAAAACGAAAGTGCAACGCGTGCAATCGCTAATTTATGTTTATTTTTGGGCTTCTTTTTTTCGGACTTCAGCAAAGAGACAGACTACACATGCTAGAAATAACCATCAGTCGTTTTATTGCGCCCATTAAATTCCCAAATTGACGCATTCGTAAAGAAATCAATGATTCTCCAACGATTTTCCAACTTATCGTCCAACTTTTATTTCTGTTCTAGTTGAAATACAATCATTTAAGGACCTATCGTTCATTTATTTTTACTAAATACGCTTTAAATTCGTAATTAAATTTTGTTCTGATCACCTCGGGTATTTAGTTGTTTAGTAATGTTTGCTGACAAAAATAGAGGGATATGGGAAAAGTGACAATATTTGCCAGTTTTGCCACATAAATACATTGTCCAGTTCTTGCTATGCGCTAATTGCTCACTTCTCTCGGGTTACGAATTTCTATACAAATATTTCCAAAGCGATCACAAGTCACTGAAGAGAGTGATTAACAAGCGAGGGGCTTCTTCAGCTGTAAAAAATCAGATACCACTTTCCTACTTCTTCATTCTGCGATCACTTCAAAAAGATTTCTTTACTAATTTGCAAATCAAATTAGATTGCCGCAAAAAAAACAAAGATTTCGAGGATTTTTGATTTTCTTAGTATGCCTTCTGTCTCGCAGATTAGGAAGTCACGCATAGTTTTCAAAAATCTAACCCTCTGTTCATTGTACTTATACCCGTTTATATTGTCCATTGTTTGTTTTTTCACTTTGTCTTTCAATGCATTTTTTAAGAAAAAAAAGAGATAATTTGCTGTTTATAAGATCAAGATACTCTCGTGAAGCACAGAATTGAGACTATCTGATCTCTTCTCAAAATGATCGGGCAAAAAAATAAAAATAACAAGAATATTCATGCAAGTTGTGCAAATCTAAATTCTTTCACTACGTCTCCCGGACTTACAAAAGTACATATGTCACTGCTGTGCAAATAAACAAAAGCGAAAATGATTGCATGCATTATCGAAATGAAATTGATCTGAATATTGTTCCTAAGCACAATTCTATAGAATGGAATTGGAGTTGCATGCAACACTTTCCGTATCTGCAATGGTACGTTTTTTAGATTTGAAGTTGTGCGATTTCTCATTTATAGTTCGAGTAGGTATGACTGTTGTGTGCAACTGCACAACTGCAGTGAAAAATGACACACATTTTTTCAAATTAACTTTATGACTTTTCATGTAATATTACATACTTTATCCTTAGATTATTAACATTCATTTTTCTCTTCCATTTATTTTCATTATTTTTGTAGATATTATATTCGCTACGTTTATTCTCAGCTATTCTAATTTGTATATTACTTTACATATTATTTTCAATATCGTTCAGTAATAGTCACGTTTTCTGCAGTCAGTTAGTTAACGCATATGACGAAGTGTTTTTGAGGACTATTGATTTATTTACACTTTCAAACAAGTGAATGCCACTGTAAAGTAGTTGTGCAATTGCACACAATACGACGAATGCTATTCGTCTAGTGCAAATTTACCCTACGAAAGTTTTTGCTGATTCATTAAAGGTATCGAATGTCAAGGAAGTGAATTTGGAGGATGGAGAAGTGCAACTTCTCGCTGAAACGGAGGTAGTACGAACATTTTTTTGTTTTGGTAAATTTTGTTTTTCTACTTTTCCGAAGTTCGTGCAATTTTCGAATTCTTCTTTTCGTAGTTCTAATTTTGGATTTATCAGCAATGTCCACGTCCGGTTGTAAAGTTGTGTATCATTCTATTTTTGTAAAGAATTTTGTGGCGCTCTATCCATCATCACACACAAAATTTTTACACTTTCAATCGATAGGCATTTATTGCGTCATTTTTTATGCAAGCTACGCAATCCACTACTACTATCTAACGAAATACAGGACTTTACAGACAGATTCTTTGTTCGCCAGCTACGATTTGAAAATTTCATTCGAAGGCCGTTCGGACTGCACTATTTTGGGTCATGTGTGACGATGACCATTGAAAAGGTGCGAACTGCAAAAAGAACTCTGGGCTGTGAATGAGCGATTGTCGATTCTCTCGTTCCTCTCCCCCCCCCTCCGTCCTCAGCTAACAATTCCCGAATCAACAAAGGTGTTCACCCACTCGAAACCGAGCGAGAATCGTCCGTGCACAGTTTCGAAATGCCAATGCACTTCTAGCTTCCGCATTCACGGCTTATTCATCCATTACCGGCTTCAATACCCCCTCTTCTTCCCCCCTCCCCCCCCCCCCACCCGCCTAGAAAAGCGTAAATTGCTGTACAGTTTATTGCTGCCATTCTCTGCACCTCATTTCCTGTTCGCTTTTTTTCTCTACGCTTAGATGGTGGGAAAATGCTTTACGTTCAGACGCCGTTTTGCCGATCGACTCTTCTTCGTAAATTGGCGACATTTGTGATTGTTCAATGGATCAATGCCCTTTTCTTGTTTGATGAACTCTAAAGGACACCATGAATCAGTCGATATTCTTTCAACATTGCTAAATTTACTCTACTGATCATCCATTTTCGTGATGGCTCACTTACACAGTACCCCGGAACTTTTTCTCTAAAGCAAATATTTTATACAAAAGGTTTTTTTTCAGCATGCAGCGCAACAGATTAAAAGCTTTACTTAAATTTAAACTGGAATGATCACCGTTTTCTGTCATATTGAAGCTTCCATTATAAAATGATTATGATGAACAACGGTCCTTCATCAGTCCTATCTTTACTGCAAGGTTACAGAGTTAGTTCAGTAATATCGTAAGACACCGGTCTTCTGTCTATGTGGGGTTATAGCAGAAACTTTCATCGGTTTCTTGCACATCCACATTACTATATTCTTAAGTTTATTTAACTTTTTCCCATAATTTCCCAGCAAAGTTTTTTATATAACTTCTAGCAGTAGCGAAATTGCGGAGCAGGTGAGACGAAGTTCAATCTAATTATCACTTTTCCTAACAAGCTTACCGTAACTATTAGCGAGGGATACGGTAATCACACCTAGTTGGCATACGGGGTCGTGGTAGCCAAGTGCTCATCCATTTTGCCATTAAAGGGAACCATTCAGTGTGGAAAGAATCTGGGTGTTTTTGAGGTAGAGCAGTGGACGTTGTAACTCATTTTGCTCTGTAGGAAACTCTGTATGGCCAATACCGGTAACTCAACTTAGACTGAAATTCAACATGAAGCCTGGTTCTTTCGGTCTCTTGAAAATTTAACGTATTATATTCTAATGCTTGCTCAAAAAAAATTTTTTATGTGAGATCTCATATGAGCATGATTCAGTGGCGGTCCAGAACTTCCTCCAGGTGGGAGGGGGGGGGGGGGTTGGGTAAGGGCGTGGCGTTAGCCACGCACTCCGAAAAAATTTTAGGGTGCTTCTTGAAATTTTTGCCAGCCCGGAACAAAATTTTTATAAGGCTAACTTGGGTTTTTAAAAATTTTAAAAATCATTCTATTTATTTTCATGAATAAAGTCGTTGGCACATTTGTATAACCTATGTAGGTTAATTTCAAAAATTTCGCCACCCATTCTGGGGAGACGTCGTAACCACACGTGGTGCGTACTCATATCAAGCTGCAAATAGCTCGACTACAAATAGGGGACTTCTTCTTGCTTGGGTGATTCGAAGAGATTATTCGTAACTATTGAGATCATTTTTTAAAGTGGTACGCTTGCTGGAGATTTTGCTGATAAGCTATTTCTTTTCAAATTTTTAATTTCACTCACATTTTTCTCCTCTCCTTGCAGTATCTTCCTAATGGGACTTTACTATGACTTTCTGCAAAATTAGGGCATGCTTTTTGCCTGGTATCTGCTAGACTACATCGGGAATCGTACCACTTCTCGTTCGCCGAATACTGTCAATCTCGTCTCGACTCTCGGGGCTCGGCTGTTGCTTTTTGTAGGCGATGCGCGCTTGGAACTCTATTATGACGACTGTCAATCAACTAGCAAAAAGAATAAGGTCTGCTCAAATTTTTTCGATCCGCTTCGAATTTTTCTTCGCAGCAGTCGAGAATATGAAGATGGATCGAATTGTCGGGATGAACGGACAGACGGACTGCAGTCAGTCAGTCATCCTTCGACTGCACTATAGCGATAAGCGTTATCAGTTGTTTCAGTCCGCGCGTCTGCAGTCGTCGCGCGGTTCTGTTCCTCGCGTCGCGGTCCGCTGCGATCTCTCGCTGAGATTACGGCTAATCGCAGCGATTCGATCTTACTTCCCAGAAAAACCCCTCTTTCTTGTACAAGTCAACGGTTTCAGTCGTAGTTCATTTAGGCATTCGGGTCTTCGCTCCAATCGTGCTGATGACGCGATTCGCATATCATCTTTTCATTGCCGCCTCCGCGATCATGTGAATGGCACGAAACTTCTTTTCCATCGCCTTGTACAAAAACGTAAAAACACTTCGATTTGTAGTCTTTGTACTATTGTGATTTTTTCTTCATTTTATCTCATGTGCTTTTTGACAAGCACTGCTTGTATAGATGTCACCTATGCTAGAAACCACTTGCTAATATTTTGTTTTGAATTAGCCTTCGTGGTTTCCTAAATTTCAACTCCCGCTACTCAAAAATCGCAACATCAAGAGTTTTTTTTTTCATTGGCGACCAAAATAGAGAAATGCAAGTCATTTAAATGTAGCTTAACTTCGCCTTATGATATTTGCCTTTACTTTAGTTGACCGAAACAGGTAGAAGGAACCTTGCGCTATATATGGCTTTCCCAGGTTTCTCACCGACTTCTCCATGTTTTATTTATATCTTTTGGTAAGCTTCCTCCTTTAAGTATGTGTACTTCATATGCAACAAAAACTAGAACTTCTCACATTCGCTACTCATACTTCTTACTTTTGAAGCTACAAAAACTGATAGTTTAAATTTTTATTATTAAGTAACAAGAAGTTTGCTCCATTCGATAACAATCTGGGATAACCTATTACAAAATGAAAATAGTGGAAAAACAAGTACTGCCTGACCTTATTAGTTTCCAAAAATGGCTGATTTATTCTGTAGTTTTTTGCTGAAAATATTAAGAAGAACAACATATAAAGCGCTTTTCACTGGAAAAAAACTGCGTGAAAAACCCCCAGAATTTGTTTATCCAAAGTTCCATGTGATATGGGATCAATCGGAAAAGGCAAAAATGGAGTTTTGGATACCTATTATTACGTTTTACCTACATTTTGTTTGATCTACACCAACAGTTCTCATTTCCACTGTTCTGAGTGCTCTTTTTTGTTTCACTGCTCCGCACTAAATAAATATGAACCAAGCAAAAACTAAAAATGATGTGTTGGTATCCTATCGTTTAAAAACTATAGTTCGTATCGAAGATTTGTTTGTCATACTGCAAAAAATTGCGCAATACCATTTCAAAATACTTTGAATTCTCCTTATAAAGAGGATACATTAAAGGAATTTTGATAATGTTTTTTTCTCATCATTCATACACGTGCAGTTTGATGGTTATCCTTAAATAATTCATTTTCCATCATAATGGATCTGTTTTTATGTCATCTATTCATCAGTACAAGTTGAGGTCTACATTCGATGTAAAGTGAAATCTAAAGTACAAATCAAACTCTGAAAATGATTTATCTATCAAAATGAATCAAATTTAAAGGATTTATTTATCAAGTATCAGTCTTTTGAATGCCACTGTTGGTTTTCCTGGGATGATCAATGTACTTGGACCGAGTAAATGGAATTTTGAACTTCGAAACCATGAACTCTAATCAACAGATGTAATGAGCAGCAGTTGCCCAGCAGTTTCGAAAATTCTACAGTTTGCTTCTTTGGCACGCCAGCTGTTACAAATAAATGAAATCCTGCAATAGGTTGAGTCAAAACTAATGAGAGGTTTTCACCCTCCATTTCAGCCTTTCCGTAAATCCTATAGAGTAATAATAGGCAAGTATTTACATCGTGTAGCTACAAATTTTCTTTTTTTTCTCAACAACCATGTCGATAGACTAATTTCATTCATAATTGCCAAAAAACTCAAAATTTTGAAAGTCCTATTTTGCTTTGTATACCTCTAGCTAATGATCGCTCAAAAGTTTGAGAAGAGCTCATATAGGGACAGAGCAAACTCTGTTTAGCGGAAATCTTTTCTAAATTTCCAGAAAATAGCCTTTCGCAGATTTTGAAATTTTCTCCCGAAAGCTCTTGATTTTCGAAAAATTGCGCAAATTGAAAATGGATTAAACCTCACAAAATCCATGGAAATAATCTCCCACAGTCATAAGAAGGAATTTGACGCTTTTCAATTAGGAAGATGCTTCAATGTTAGTTGCAGATTCTTGAACGTGCATTAAAATCGCAGATAAAATATCGAAGCACAGCAATTAATTTAACATTATTTGAATTCTTGAATTTTTTTTCTTTTTGCAGGATAAATTGTGTGCTCGCTCTAAAAGCTATACGAACTGTAATGAAAATTGCCATTTTACTGTGATGGCCTCAAGATACTCTGTTGTGCAAGAAATCGTCACATATCTGTGCCTTATTTGCTCTATTAGCCACTGCGTAACTATTAGTTGGGGCGTAATTTTACACCACAAATTTTCAATATAATCGTTGAAAAATCTCGAGATGAATTTTGGGAT